TCTGCTCTCTTTTTCTCATGGTCTTCTCCTTCTTTCCCATCGCCCGGCTTGCCACAGGTTTGCCTGCTGTGTCTAAAAGTAGCAGCAGCAGCAACCCAGACTGACAGCTCATTGGCTCATTTGGATCACGTGCAGCCTGGAATTCAACCAGATGCAACAGTTAATGTTAAACCATTTATTTAAAAAAGGAAACTGCTGCAGGTCAGGGAGGATTCAGCAGAGTTCTGGAAGGAGTTTGGACAGTTGAGTGACCAGGCAGAAACAGAGGGAGATGTTTCCAGTGTTGAATTCTGGTTCTTCTTTCAGTTTCGGGACAAACTATGAGAGTTGCTTAAGAAGCCCGTTGGTGTGTGACATCACCAGTGATCCTCAGAGGATTCCTGAATCCGTCATGGTTGGTTTGGAGGAATCCTTCTTTGACAGTTACCCCTAGGTCCTGAGTAATGCACAGGGTGAGATCTGTGAGAGCAGAAACAGTCAGAATGATTGGGGAGAATCCGGAACCCAGAACAGGGGACAGAAAACAGGCCAGAGAACCAAAAACACACTATGAGAGGTCTGATGGGGTTCAGATGGCTGAGAGAATCAGGAAGTAGAATCAGGTCAGAATCAGCCAGACTAGTAACAGCAACGCTGGATTAAACCCACAAATGTCTCTAAAAACTGGTGACTGGGCTGAGAGCTGGTTTTATAGTCCAGTAAACGGACCTCAAGGTCTTTAGTGGTTTACCCAGGACATGAATTCTCATGCTCCTAAGGAGCTGGAGATGAACGGCCACCAGGTTCACCATCTCAAAGATCGGGGATGGGCCGATGGAGCGAGCTGCCAGTTTTCTGCTGTCCACACGCAGCGTGGTCTATGACATCAGGAATCATGGCGGGTCGCCAAAACTGAGCCTGAATGACTTTGATTGTTTTGGTTGGCAGATGGCAGAACAGGATGGCAGAACCTCATCTGTTCAGTATTATTCTGCAACTTGAGCAAGAAGGTCCAGAGGGGGTGGAATACAGTGGAATCAGCTGATAGTGATCACGTTGGTCCAGAGCCAATTTGAACACTATCAGCGGTTGATTACTAAAACCGAATTTACCGTTATTTCACTTGTTTTTTTATGCAGATTATCATCTAAATGCAATTTGTGTGGTTTTTCAAGGAGAAAAATGAAATGAAAGGGATAGCCTCTGCATTTGCTGAATTTTATTACAGTACCATGCAAGTTTAATTATGGTATACTGCTCTGTGCGCAGACATAGCTCTGGTAGCCTGCAGTACTTATTATGATCTGCGTCGGCTCTGCTGTGCTGTCGGTGCATTTTTTTTAACATGACTGAAAATAAAGTTTGAAAGAAACGGTTTAACAGAACAACAACATAGAAGATAACTGCATAGGCTACAGAAAATGAAAGTTACGTCTGTTTTGTGTTGCGGATCTGCTGCGCTTCACATATTTATCCATGGTTCCCTGGATCAGAGTGTCCAACTTCACTTCTTTTTTAAAACCATGTAAAAGGTCAAAGTTTTTGAAACCAACATGCAGGAGACCAGTCTTTAAAATGCAAACTGCATTCCTCATCTCAGTTATGGAAGAGACAACAGTCTTCTCTTCCTCCTCCTCCTCCTCCTCGCTGGGCACAGCACTGGTACCCGCACCAAAGCGCTCTGGTACCGCCGAGCTAGCTAGGCAGAAGCAGATGCCCAGAAAGGAATCATGAGAGTAAAAAAATAAAATAACTATGCTACACATAATTTTGAAATTATTTTTGCATGTTTACATTCATAAAATGGCCAAAAATGAACACTATAAGCAGATTTCTTGATTACTTTAAACAAATTAATTAAACAGCACTTGTAAAGAAATGATTCTGTCTCAAGCATTTTGATCTAAATAAGCGGTTGATTTCTACATCCCTGATCACTATAAGCAGATTCCAATGTGCTTCATTTCTGCCCTCTTCTCTTTGTTTTGCCTTTTTGTCCATTTTATCAGTGACAGGGTTTGTATCCGTCACTGTCCAAATCTGCCTATATTCTGCCTTTAATATATTTATCGCTCACCCTGGTAGGATGGGAAATATGTTATTTAATCAGATAATAATCAGACTGTCATGTATTGTTTATGAACATGCCCCCTACTGGCTGTGTGTTAAAACAACAGATGAAAGTGTGAATCAAACTCCAATCATGGTCCAAAAGATAATTCTGCACATATATGAAATAAATTCTCCACATTTTAAAGCTACAGTGTGTAATAATTACAGGGATATACAGTCAGAAATGTAATATATTATACATAACTATGTTATTTATCATCATCTANAGATGAGTAGGCAGAGGCAGGTATAATTAGGCTGGTGAACAGGTGAGTGGAGTAACTAATTATCGGGAACAGGTGGAGATCATCTAGAGTGGGCTGGTGGCTGGAGGCAGACTGAGCTGTAGGATAACTGCTGATGGCTCAATAGTGAATGATCTTAGTTAGCCTAGCATCATAGCGTAATAAGAAGATACAGCATTATCTTCCACTCAATTTATTTTCTTTTCAAATTGTTTTGACCATGTGCTAGCTTAGCATTAGCCTTGCCTGTTAAAAAGTGTAGAATCTGCTCAGTAATGATTCATTTATAGATTCTTATGCTTATAAACAAAACAGTTTCACAATTCTTAGAGTCGATTTGTCTTTCAGTTCAGATCCTAAAAAGCAGCTAGAAAGGCAGACAGTTTAATTGTGCTGATAGTCTTTCTGTGTCACATTTCAGTGAAGTATACGTTTGGTGGAACATCATATTTTCTTTGCTTACAGTCAGAATACTGTCCGGTCGATTGTGAAAAGCCAATTTCTTTGAATTTAAATTCAGGGAGTAGTTTTGAAAATGAAATCAGACAAAGCTAAATTCTAGACGTGTAGCAGATTGATCTTCTTGGCAAAAGGAGAGCAAGTCTCTGCTTTGGACACCCTGACCTTAAACCTCTCCCTTGGACAAAAGTCCTGCACAGATCCGGACATCTGCTCACCCCTTGCACAGTAGAAGCTTCTCTATACGTCCTGTAGCCAATGTGACAAATCGATAAAATAAATTGTGTAGCAGCTTGCAGAGTCAGATGGAAGGTGTGTGACTCTGCCTTATGCTCATTGCTATAGAGGCAACCTATATAAAACAGACCTGTGTGAAGATGGTCACAGGAAGCTGAAGAAGCCCTGTCAGGTTCCAGAAACCTTCTGTCATCCGGAAGATGCAGGAATCATTGTTAGAATCAGGATGGCGATTTCTTCAGTGCTTCAGTGAACAGAAAGTGGGCAGCGACACAGGGGGGTTCACTTACCTCTATATTCTATGGTTCAGCCTTTTAAGGTCATCAGCACAGATGAGAATTTCATAGATCAGAGCTCAAAAGATATTTTAGCTCTTTGTTTCATGTCTTGATTCAGTGGGAGGGTTAATAAGCTTTGACTGAAAGTAGGATGTTTGACAATCAGCAGAACATGTTGGTTTATAAGCCGTAATATTTCATTTTATTGCACACAGAATTTAGCCTGTAACCCTAGAGCAGGAATCATTAGTGTGCTTAACAGCAGATAAAACACAATTTTTCTGAGATAAATTTATTTGAACACAGAGTAAGTTTCCAGGTTGTCTGTTCCATTTGTGTCTTAAAATCTCGGGAACAGCTCCATCACTATAACCAGAATCAAACAAACCTCCACATACGCAAAACGCTTGCCTTGATCCAAATTAAAACCTAATTTCCAATTTATTCAATTTTGGTCATGGGCAAGACACTGTCTGGATGG